GTACAAAAATCAGACATTTCTGAGGAGAACAGATATGAAATAATTGATTGGGATAAGGAAAGAAAATGAAAATAAGTGTGAAAACAGGAGTTCACGCAAAAGGAGAGAAAATAGGCCTCCTAACAACCACCTGGAAGACCTGGTAGACACCAAAACTGCCCCCCGTCAGATAAACAGCACTTAAAGCTTTCATCTTTGAGAGAGAGGAGAAAATCAAGCTGCTTCAGATCATTTACGAGTGGCAGCGCATGTGTATGGGGTTCTGATCTGAGTTGAGCCATTAAAGACATTTGCACGTTATCCATTGGATAAAACAGATAAAAATGTACATGTAAAAGCTCTCAGGTTCAGGAGTTGAGATCTTTAAAGCTCAAGCACATCTCAAAATGCAAAGAAACTATAGATACAGTTCTGTACAAAAATCAGATATCATTTAATTTCCTGTCATAATGGCCATTCAGTGCAAGTTGTTCATTTTTCCAGAGATATTAGATATGAAATAATTGACTCGGATAAGAAAAGAGAATGAAAATAACTGTGAAAACAGGAGTTAATGAAAAAGGAGAGAAAATGCGCCTCCTAACAACTATCTTGAAAACCTGGTAGACCCCAAAACTGCCCCCATCAGATAAACAGCACTTAAAGCTTTCATCTTTCAGAGAGAGGAGAAAATCAAGCTGCTTCAGATCTGAAAACATCCACAGGTGTTTCTGTCCATCCTTCCACTGTGAGAAGACGACTCAGCGCTGTGGGTCTGAAAGGATGTGTAGCTGTCAAGAAGAAGAAGAAGTTGTTGCTGAGAAATAATTGGGAATTGTGGTTACTTGGATAGCGAGAAGCAGAAAATGCTAAAACAACTTCAGACTGAACTTTGAAGGTGTGTCTGCATATTTCTCTGAAAATCTGAAAGTGAATCTCCTAAAAAGAATGGAAGCTGTAATAAACACAAAGTGTGGATACACTAAATACTGAGAAATCTGATATTGCATTTAGGTGTCGAGACCTAATTTTCTGTTAAATGTGTGCTTCTGATGCTGAGAATAAAAAATGAGTAACTTGTACTTAACAGTCATTTGCTGTTATAAAAGCAAGTGTGGCCTAAATACTAAAAAATGAAATTATATTTAGCTGTTGAGGCTTCTGTGTATTTTTCTGCTTTTTTCCAACACTGAAAAATAACTTGAACTTAACGGCCATTTTAACTGTAAATTAAAGAAATGAAGGCTGGTCTCTGACTTTTGCAGTGCTGTGGTTTCTGTAATGCCTTATTCTAATGATCATACCTGTTTCCTGACTTTGAATAATTCTGTCATCAGAAAAGTTCATTAGGTTTATAACAAAAATGTGCCACTCAATCTGTCTCATAATTGTCTATTACTAAATCGATATGCTGTCTATAATTAGTGAGTTCAGACTGTGCCTTCAACGTGGTGGTGGTAGTATGAGGGAAGACTGATTGAGGTAGGAGGGCGAACTTAGAAGGCCAGACCCCCTCATAGCTGTAGTAGGACTGATGCAGCACTGATGAACAGGGAGGGGATGGGGTGGCGGTTGGGTTCGTCTCAGGAACAGAAGGTGAGGATGTGAATTTATAGAGCGTTAGATTGGAAGAAGGAGGGGTTTCAGGCATATTACTCGCCCCAAACCTCCACCCTGCAAGACCCCCTCCTCCCCCTGCACTGAATCAGTTCTGCAGCATTTTAACTGAACAGCTTCGATTGGTCTCCTTAGACGTCAGGGTTGCACTTCCAGATGCAGGTGCGCACGAGAGGTGGAGCTTTTATTAGCGGGTAGGTGGGAGTTGCTGGCGCTTGTTTTGCAGCGTCTCCAGCAGCTGGTGATTCATTGCCCAGCAGAGGGACAGGAGGCATCTGCGGAAAGACTAAGTCGGCAGAAAGCGCGGGTTTTATGTAGCCGTGTGGCGAGGCGAGCGAGCGGCAGCCGAGCGCTTTAAATGAGCTCCATTACTCTGGCCTGGCAATGCGACGGCTGTGCGGAGGCTCAGGCTGACAGCAAAACATTTCTAAAGGTCAGGCATCTGCCGAGAGAGGGAGAAACGAGCGCACATATGCACTCTCGCGCTCTCAGATATGCAACATTGAGCGCTCTCTCCCTCGTCCTCTCTCCCATCTCCTTCTCGCTCATTCATTTCCCTGCTTATCCCTCCCTTCTGCTCTTATTGAGTGAAGCTGCTCTGAATTGAGTGCAGTCTTCTCTATTGATCCAGCCGATCACTCATAAACTGCCATTCCAGCCAGCCGCTCTCGGCCGCTCCATTTGCTTAATGAAGGGCCTCGCGCCTGACAAATGCTCGTTGTGTTTTGCGGACCTGCCTCCTCACACTTAACGGTCACTCCTGCATCGATCATGCCTCTCAGAGGTTGGTCTAACTCGGCCCGCTGGAGAGACGGAAGCCTGCTGGTTCGTCCGGGATTGTCTCCATGGCTCCCCGCGACAATGCAGGCCCCTCGCACGCAGTCGCTCGCCATTAAGCCTAACCGGCAGGGTTCATCGTGATTAAGATAAACACAGCTTAGGACATAATTGAGTTTTTATCAGAGGAGTGTGCCCGCTGTTTTTGGCTCAGACACAAAGTGCTGTTATTTTGTGATTTATGACAGACCCCATGCGCTTCCTGTCACGACCTGGACGTCATGCAGTTGATGAGCTTGGCTCACCTTCGCTAGCGACGGTTCTGTGTGTTGGTGTGTGGTGTTGAAGGCGGAAAATGGAAAACTTGATGTGTTAAGTGAGGGCTGCAAAAAATGTTTTAGTAGTCGATTAATTGTGTGAATTAAACGATTAATCGATAATTGGCTGATGATTTGAGTGAATGAATCACAATGTTGACTAATCATGTAAATTATTTGGCCCAAATGGTGACTAATCATGTGAATTAATTGACTAATAATCGATTAATTGGTTAAAAATGTGCCTTTGAATGCGACGAGCTGTAATATGAAGGGCTACAAAAAAGTTGATTATTCGTGTAAATAAATCGATTCACTGATTCTTTGACTTGATTAACCGATTCAGAATATCGACTAATCATGTGAATTGATCAAACAATAATGTTGACTAATCATGTGAATCACTTGACTAATAATCGATTAATTGGTTTAAAATGTGCCTTTGAATGCGACAAGCTGTAATATGAAGGGCTACAAAAAAGTTGATTATTTGTGCAGATTAATTGATTAGCTGTTTATTTGTGTGGATTAATTGTTTCATAATATCGACTAATCATGTGAATTGATCAAACAATACTGTTGACTAATCATGTGAATCACTTGACTAATAATCGATTAATCGGTTTAAAATGTGGCCTTTGAATGCAACAAGCTGTAATATGAAGGGCTACAAAAAAGTAGATTATTCGTGCAGATTAATTGATTAGCTGTTTATTTGTGTGGATTAATTGTTTCATAATATCGACTAATCATGTGAATTGATCAAACAATACTGTTGACTAATCATGTGAATCACTTGACTAATAATCGATTAATCGGTTTAAAATGTGGCCTTTGAATGCAACAAGCTGTAATATGAAGAGCTACAAAAAAGTCGATTATTCGTGCAGATTAATCGATTAGCTGCTTATTTGTGTGGATTAATCGATTCATAATATCGACTTATCGTGTGAGTTGATCAAAGAACAATGTTGACTAACCATGTGAATCAATCGACTAATCGATTAATCGGTTTAAAATGTGGCCTTTTAGTGCAACAAGCTGTAATGTGAAGTCTATTATTCATGCAAATTAGCTGCTGATTATTTGTCTGGATTAATTGATTTGTAATACCGATTAATCATGTGAATTGATCAAACTAATAATCAATTAATCAGCTTAAATGTGGCCTGTAAATGTGAAGAGCTGTCACAGCAAAATGTTTGGCAAACTCAGGTTCTGTTCACCAAGAGCTAAGTTACCATCATGAGGCATTTTATTGAAGCTTGACCATAAGTTTGAGCTAACTAACGCTGTGACAGGACGAACTGTGGAAATGTCTGATATTATTTTAGCCTGCTAAATGCTTCTGATAACCTTGTCTAGAGGTGGAAGGTAACTCAGTCAGTTCAGTCAGACTTGTAAATGTTGTATGTGACAACTTTTTCCTTGTGCTCCCAGACCTTTACTCCTTTTCCTGTGGTCAGAAACTGACCAGTGATAAAAAAGGGGGTAGGGAGTGAATTGTGCATGTCAGAGGGGTAACATTCTGTAACTGTACACCTACATAGTGGACCTGTAAGGCAGGTGGACCTCAAAAAAGTGGATAGTGAGTGTGTATTGTTATAGTAAATGTAATATAATAGCTTTAAATTGCATTATGTAAACACAATACTAAATACAAACCATACATTTGATTAATAAATGACTTTCAATCACGTTCAATCTTCCAGATTAGCTTGATCTACCATGCCAACTTGGTCTAGGTCCAAGTCTGGTAAACTACTATGTATTAAGGACTGTAAACGTATCAAGCTTGGCAATATTACAACAACAATGCCATGGTTTGGTGCCCTTAGTGAGTCATTGCCTGTTATGTCATCAATCATGTCTAATGTTCCTATCACATATTATCCCCTCTGTATAAACCCCAGTTTTAGCCAGTGTTACCGGTTCTAAATCAATCTCAGCAGCATGGCAATATGAAATCATTACTACTTTATCAGAAGCTGTAAATCATTCCATTCTGGGTGACAACTGCAACTTTCCCCACCATATGTTATCTGTCACCTGACATCATATCATAAGTATATTTATAGTGTGAATATTTGTGGAAATGCGCTTTTAAGATGTATAGCACACGCAGTGATGAATGTATATAATCTTCTATCTGATCAACCCCGTGACCCCGTTTTAGATATCGGCGCGTAAGTTGATGGAATAAGAGATTGGGACGTAATTTTAGATTGCTAATGTTCTAGCCTGTCCTTATATGTGAATTCCTTAAAGCTACCAAGTTTGTCTAATGTCCTCTGTCCCTTTTCTCTCCAGCTCCTGACCATCGACGACAACTTCTGCGGATTGGATATGAACGCCCCTCTGGGGGTTTCCGAGATGGTGCGCGGAATTCCACTGTTCTCCGAGTCCAATGACAAAATGACCTCCGTCATTGCCTACGTCTACAAGAACCACTCTCTGGCCTTCGTGGGTACCAAGAGCGGACGGCTGAAGAAGGTAGGAGGCCTTTCAGTTTCTTGGACGGAAGGATCCGTCACTGATTGGTGTCACCGCTGCTTTAGCAATGCGTTGAAACTTATCAGATAGGCTAATCGCTAACATGGTGTCCTGCAACTGCTATATTTAGGAGGGAAAACCTGGAGAATTTGTGATGGTGACTTGTAACATTTGAAGAACGGTATCTGCTACAGCAAATCTCGCTCTGCAGTATTGTGGCATCGTAAAAGCATAGTGAGCTTTTGGCTAACCTGGAGGAAATCTGGAGAATCTGTGATGTTCTAACAAGACGGTGATTTGTAACATTTGACTGGCAAAATCTGCTACAGAAAATCTAATTTTGCCAGTGAAGAGCACAGCGAGCTTTCAAACTGCTTTACCAACACATTGAAACTTACCAAATAGACTAACTGCTAACACGTTGTACTTCAACTGTGTTTAGTTGGAAAAACCTGGAGAATCTTTGATGTTATAGTGATATGTTGGCTTGTAACATTTGAACGGCGGCATCTGCTATAGAAAGTCTTGTCCTGCAATTGTGTGGTGTCGTAAAAGCATAGTGAGCTTTTTATTTTAAATAGGCTAATCGCTAACACCTTGTCCTGTAACTGTTATATTTAGAAAGGGAAACCTGGAGAATCTGTGACTTGTAACATTTGAACGGCAGCATCTGCTACACAAAATCTCATTGTGCAATTGTGTGGCAGTGAAGAGCACAATGAGCTTTCAAACTGCTTTACCAACTTACCTAGTAGGCTAACTGCTAACACGCTGTGCTTGAACTGTGTTAAGTTGGAAAAACCTGGATTAAATTATTAAATTAATTCGTAAATCTTGCTCTGCAGTTGTTTGGCATCGTAAAAGCATAGTGAGCTTTGGCGATAGGCTAATTGCTGACACCTTGTTCTGTAACTGTTATATTTATGAAGGAAAACCTGGAGAATCTGTGATGTTCTAACAAGACAGTGACTTGTAACATTTGAACGGTGGCACTGAGTACAAAAAATCTCATTCTGCGATTGTGTGGCAGCGTAAGAGCACATTGAACTTTCAGACTGCTTTACCAACACATTGAAACTTACCAAGGAGGCTTATTGCTAACAAGTTGTGCTGTAACTGCTATATAAAGGAGGAAAAACCTGGAGAATGATGATATAGCAACATGGTGGAAATTTCACTTCCGCAATCTAACCCATCCGTGCAGTGAAACACCACATGCACACTAGTGAACACACACACTAGGGGGCAGTGAGCACACTTGCCAGGAGCGGTGGGCAGCCCTATCCGCAGCACCTGGGAAGCAGTTGGGGGTTAGGTGTCTTGCTCAAGGGCACCTCAGTCACAGACTTTCGGCTCAGGGGATCAAACCAGCTGTCGCAAGGCTGGTTCCCTAACCTCCAGCCCACGACTGCCCCCCATTAGCATATTTGATTAGCATATTTGATAAGTTTAACTATACTGAAACTCATCAAATGTGCTAATCCCTAATACCTTGTACTGTAACTGCTATATTTAGGAGGGAAAACCTGGAGAATCTGTGATGTACTAACAAGACGGTGACTTCTAACATTTGAACGGCGGCATCTGCTACAGGAAATCTCGCTCTGCAGTTACGTGGCAGCTTAAGAGCACAATCGCTAAAGTGTTGTACTGCAACTGCTATATTTAGGAGGAAAAACCTGGAGAATGATGTTATAGCAACGTGGTGACTTGTAACATTTGAACGGCAGCATCTGCTACAGAGACTCTCATTCTGCAAATGAGTGGCAGCGCAAGAGCACAGCGAGCTTTCAGACTGCTTTACCGACACACTGAGTCTTACCAAGCGGGCTAATCACTAACACCTTGTACTGTGCCTGCTATATTTAGGAGGGAAAACCTGGAGAATCTGTGATGTTCTAACATGACGGCGACTGGTAACAGTTGAACGGCGCTATCTGCTAGAGAAAATCTCGCTCTGCAATTGCTGTGGCAGCGCAAGAGCACAGCGAGTTTTCTCCGAAAGAGGACAGCAAGCTAGTCTTGCCCGGTGATTGCTGACATACCGAACAGCATCTTGTGTGTAGAGAGTGGGATGGCTGTATTACAGCATCATGTTTTGCTAGGTTTACAGAGAGAGAGAGAGAGAGAGAGAGAGAGAGCGCGAGAGTGAGAGAGATGGAGCTAGCTGCAGGGCCTCCTGCTCATGCGGAGCTAGTCGGGGGGTAATTGGATGATGCGGTGCGGGGGCTTTGGGCCTGCTGCCCTCTCCTCTGACTGGGTCTCTGAAAGCCGTGGCTGAGACGAATCTCCAGGCCAGCCAGACACTGCGTGTAGGAGAAAACAGCAGTAAGAAAGAGAGAGAGAAAGAGAGAGAGAGTGAAGGAGAGAGCGAGTGGGCTATGTGCTCTATCTCTTCTTCTCAAGTGCTTGTACTCCAGGGATTTGGCGATGCAGACGGACAAAGCTTTGCCAACAGGCAGGATTCCAATTTGAGGCGTAGTTGTTATTGTGGGGGCTTTTTTTGTTGTTGTTGTTGGATGGAGCTGTGTAGGAGAGGAGAGTCTTCTTCCTGCCCAAACAGGTGGGCAGAGTCACTGCTGTTTTTGTATCGCTATTTTTTTACCTGAGTCATGGTCCCGCGTGTGTTTGCACACTCCCTGTGATGTAGTAAAGGGCCGTACGGCCAAAAAATTCCACCACAGTATAATAATTACAATTTCTGACAGTTTCCGTATGTAGAATTTTCAGCAGTGAGTCATTTATAGGTGAGCACTGGCTTATTATTCACTTTTTAATATTGATAAGAACCATTTTAAACAACCAAAGAAAATCTGACGTGTTATTTAATTGTGCAAAAATAGTAAAAATAAAATTGGACAATATATAGATAAGCCTGTGTCAGTATGGATGTCCAACGTTAGCCCCTTGGGTCCAGCAAAAACAGGCGTCTTATTCAACAGCTTTTTTTTTCCATTCCACCTTAAATGGACCAGCAGTACAGGCGCCTAAATGTGACTGCTGCACCATTTAAGGTGGAATTCTAGTATGAAGCCAACTTCAGCTTCTCAAGTCATATGTGTCTGTTCACACTGCTCGAATCTGGTAAACATTACAGTCATTCACGCTTCAGTACCAGCTGGTCCACTGCTTGTTTTGCATATAAAACCCCGACTACAGTGTCGTCTGATGCAGCTGACTGAGTCAGGCGGCTCCTCAGGCAGTGCGAGTGGAAACAAGTGGAAACACAGTGTAGGCTAAGGCAAACCCCAAAAGAGCGGCCATCGCTGCCTCAATGGACTAGAAGTGGACCGCTGCAGATGCAACAGACTAGACCACATGCGTCAAGCTCCAGTCCACGTGAGCCGAACCACTGCAGACTTTAGCATGCTGCCTCATTAAACACACCTGACTAAGCTCATCAACTGATTAGCATGGCCTTCATGAACTAAATTCAGAGCGTCAGATGAGGGTAAACGCTGATATCTGCAGCCTTTTGGCCTGGAAGGTCCCCAGTCTGACATGCCTGGACGAGACAGTGGAAGGCTGATTGAGGGTCTGCTGCATTTTCACTTTCATTTCATTTCACCTGAAATCTCCCTGGAGATCTATCACCCTCAGATCCAACCCACCTGGGTCTATTCTTCAGATGCTACAGGGGGCATTCATTACCTGGATCAGGTGTGTCTGATTAGGGTTGGAGCTCCGCAGGGTGGTAGATCTCCAGGAACAAGACTGGACACCCCTCATCTAGATGAACTTTTACCTTGGAAATATGCAAACCTCGGAAGCATCAGCCAGTAGAAAATAAGAGGGCGAGCTGTGCTGTCTGCTTTCTAAATAAAACGAAATGGAGAAACTGCTCCAAACTAGTTAGCCAGCTAACGGTGACCTTTTACCAGACTAAACATTCACTGCAAAACCACATCATGCCAGTGCTGCCCATAGCCGCCTGACTTGCTCCAGTCCTGCAAAGAAAATAGTGAGGTGGCAGTCCAAAGTGACCGCAAAATTGATGCTCATGCATTATGTTGTCTGCCCGTATTCGTGGCATACTGGTATAAAATGCATAAAGAAGTTTATTCAAGTGTGCTATTACGGCACTTCTTTTATTTATTTATTTATTTTTGGATTTTTCCCCAATTTTCTCTTCTCCAATTCCACCCACTAGTTAGGACTCCCCCCAATCACATGATACTACCAGTGCTAGAAGGGTAAGGGCAAACACAAGCCTTCTCCGAGACCTGTGAAGCACAACCGCATCTTTTCGAGCTGCTGCTCACACAACCTTACTGGACAGCCAAACGCACTCGGAGGAAAGTGCCAGCCTCCAGATCAGTTACGTCAGTCAACAGACGCCTGCACTGACTAGCATCACATTGAGTGATGGGGGGAGAAGGGGGGGCCATCCTACCCACCCAGAGAGCGAGGCCAATTGTGCTCTCTTGGACTCCCAGCCACGGACGGCTGTAGCATCACCAGGGATCGAACTCGCGATCTCCTGATGATAGAGCCAACGCTTTGAAACTAAAAATAAGTGAGAATGCTTTAAGTATACTTTTATGTACTCATCAGAGATGTACTAGACAAAATTATACTTAGGTACACTTCATTTATACTTACAAGTATACAGAAAAGTTTTAGTATATTCAGCCTATACTTGTGAGTGAGTACATTAGAAAGTATCGGGGTGCTATGGGGGGTAGCACTGTCACCTTACAGCAAGACGGGCCTGGGTTCGAATCCCCGGCCGGGTGACCAGCGTCCTTTCTGTGTGGAGTTTGCATGTTCTGTCTTTGTGGGTTTCCTCCTCCTGTTAGGCCTGAGATTTTGTGTATAAGTTTACTTGTGGTATATTTCAAAGTATACTTTTATAAACTAAAAAGTGGGCCAATTTAGTCCCAAGAAGTACTAAGATGGTTTATACTACAAGTGCATTGATATTAGTATACTTTCTACATAAAATATTCTTGGGGAATATACTTGAACTTTACTTACGTTCACATGTTTAATGGATGAAC